TTCCTTCCTTCCACACTTCCTTCCACACTTCCTTCCACACTTCCACACTTCCTTCCACACTTCCACACTTCCTTCCACACTTCCTTCCTCCCTTCCGCACTTCTGCACTTCCTTCCTGTTAATCTGCACCTCAGTGTAGATCAGAGTGGAATGACACTGAACAATTGGTGCTTAAATATGTATATATATATATGTATATATATTTATATATGTATATATATAAAGTAAAAATATTACATAAGAAATTGCATAAGGGAAAAGGAAGGAAGAGAGAGAAGAGAAAAAATGTATCGCCACCCATAGACCTCACAGTGGGACTTGATTCTGGCAGTTTAGCTGTTGGTTGGTCAAAGTGATGTTCCCCATCCATTGGGGGTGGGGGAAGAAACAGGCAAAACACAAAGTCCAGTGGGTTAAAATACACTGAGGCTCAGCAGGAAGACTCAGGTACCTCCCCTGTCTTAGAGGATGTTTTACTCTGTCCCTTGCAATACACTCTGGATCTGTTGCAATGTTTTTGGATCACATGGAGTCCTCTGGTTCAAGGCCTCAGCAGTGGGTCCAGGGGCACTATGGGGGTTTTGATTTTTCGTGACACCTTCTAAGACATGACAGCTGCTTCTAATATCAGTTCAGATGAGCTGTAATGCCCCATGAGATCTTCTCCGTTACTCATAACAGTTCAGTCTCTCACACTTTCTTAAGCCATTCTTCAAACAGATTTTGTTTTATTTTATTTTTCATTTATTTTTACCTTAAATTTTTAAATACTATTAAAACTTAATTCACTTTTTCTTGGCTAATATTTCAAATTTAGAAGGCTCTATATAAGGACCTACTATGGATGACACATTAAAAATACATTATTTCAAATTTAAACATAATAAATAAAACTTCTACTTTTATGGAACCCAGACTATGAAGAAATTTTTAAAACAAGATTGTCCCTTTCAAAATTCTTTTTTTTCTCAGTGATTTTTTCAAGACTGTCATGGTTTCATTACTGCACTGAACTAAAAAGAATAAAGCTAAACAAGTGTTTCAGTAGGTGCTAAGTACCAGTTGTCCCTTATAACTTTTTAAAGCAAAATGAAACTGGAGAATTTTAAGGTCCAAATTCTGTCATAACATCTTGGAGTTAGGACTGTGAAAAGTACTTGAAAGTTCTGTGAAGTACCATGCAATCATGGACTTCCAAATTAGTACTCTTTCTTGTGAAATTTGAATTTTAATAGAAATTAAAATATTAGAAGTAATTTAAATTATATTAAAAGTAGTCTTTCATCTATCACTTTAAAAAAGGTATGTTTTTAATGCATTAAAAATAGTTTCAATATGGATTTTATTTTATATAGAATAGACCAAATGAATTGAAATGAAAATATAATAGTGTAAATCACTAATGCAGAAATCAAGCATCTGAAATTCTAATACATAAGGGAATTTCAGATACACCATATTTCCTCTTAACTAATTTTCTATTTTACAGGAGACACTGGTAGAGCTCTGCTTCATTTGCTTCAATATCCTTGAACTACAGACCTGTGGTTAAAAAAAAAAATAATTTTTTGAAGTAAAAAAGAAAATGCTTTGAGTAATTTTTCAGGTCAAAAACTCTTTTTATTTACTTTGTTATTCCAAGCAAAAAACATTTTCCAGACATCCTGATACCTGAAGTGTATGTGAATTACTTTTAGAAAGACACTAATGTGGTTAATACAGCATGGAACATAAAAATCATAGTGAGAAAACATATAAAAAAAGAACAGCTAAAATGTTTTAATCTTTAAACTAGTGATGCAATGTCAGCGTCACAAAACTTTTAATTTTCTTCATAAAAACTCTTTTAACAGTGACATGCATTTCAGAGTACATATTGTTTAAACAATTAGTTTACAAGATTTTCAGCTGCAGTGTTTGGTCTTAGTTGTGTCCTGCATTGTCAGCACAGTGCCTGTAGGGTAACACATGGCTTTTTTTTGCAAACCTTGCGTTCAGGCAATGGGCACACATATCATCATCTTACAGAGGCTTTCTCACTTATTTTTCCTTCATCTTGAACATGTGAAGATGAAGTAGAGCTGAAAGACAAATACATAGATCTTGCAAGCAAATGAGAATTTGCTTTTAGAGTTTAATTGTAATAGACTTGAATATATGCATTTTCAGAGGCACTTTTTAAATTTAAGTAATTTTTTGAGAATTCTTCATTCCCCAATCACCTAATCTATTTTGGTTTCAAAGTGTTATGGTGGATTCATCCTGTCTGGATTCCCGGCACCCAAAAAAGCTGTTTGTTTATTCATTCCTCTTCTCAGTGGGATAGGGGAAAGAAAATATAATGAAAGACTTGTGTCATGGGTAGAGATAGGGACAGGGAGAAATCACTCACCAGTTACTGTCATGGGCAAACAAACTAAATTTTGTGAAACCAATTCAATTTACTGTCAAGCAAATCAAAGTAAGGTAATGAAAAATAAAGCCAAACCATAGAAAATACTTTCCTCCACTCCTCCCTTCTTCTTGGCTTAAACTTCACTTGTTTTTCTACCTAACCCTGCAGCAGTGTAGGGCATGGAGAATGGGCACTGTGGTCAGCTCATGTGGCTTCTTCCTAGGGGAAGGACTCTGCACACTCTCCCTCTGCTCCCATGTGAATTCCCTCCACAGGATACAGTCTTCTGTGAACTTCTCCAATATGAATCCTTCCCACTGGTTGCAGATCATCACTACTGCCCCAGCATGGGTCTATTTCATGGGATTCCTTCAGGAACTGCTCCAATGCAGGCTTTCCATGGAGTCTCACACTCCTTTGGACATCTACCACTTCTAATGTGGGGTCATTCATCAGCTGCAGGTGGATCTCTGGTTCCCCATGGATCACTATGGGCTGCAGAGGCACGGCTGCTTCACCATGGTCAGCACTAGAGACTGCAGGGGAATCTCTGCCTCAACTCCTGGAGCATCTTCTGCCTCCAACTCCTCCACTAACTTTGGTGTCTGCAGAGCTGTTCCTCTCAAATGTTCTCACTCCTCCAGCAGATTTTATAAAGCACTTTTCCTCTTAGATCTCTCAGCCCATATGAGCTACCATCATTACTGAGGGGTTCGGCCTTGCCCTGTGGCAATGATGTCTTAGAGTCAGCTGGTATTGGCTCCCTCGAGGATGGGGGCAACTTCTGGCTTCTTCTTATAGAAGTCACCACTGAAGCCACCAAAATCTTGCCATGAAAACCCAATATAGCCATTTCAGATTAGTTTGGATGTCATAAAAATTTACAAGCCCCTACTGTTTGCTGTAATCTTCTGCTTGAAAGGGAAAATTTCAGGTTTTGACATTTACCCTGAAAACTTGCAATTATCTTTAACAATTCAAGTTGATTTTGTCCTCAGATGCACCAAAGCTTTTTCATTTTTTTAAATAATAACATCACATGTAGTATTTTCTCTCTACAGACACCAACACATAGCTCATTGCTGAGCTCAAAAGGTGCTAGGATAATAGAATTTTTCATCCACTTTCTTTTTGCTTAACTGAGCACTGAGTTTTTAGTATTACAGGAGCAAGACTCCATGATTTTCTTAGACTGTCTCACTATGAACTATGGTTGCCCGAAGATTACAGCCTCTGTTGCTAAACATAATGAGCAGCACCATCTGCATTTACCATCTGGCCTATGAAAACTTCTGATAAGTTCAGGAAGTGTTTGCGACAAGGAGAGACCTTCTTCCATGTCTGATCTCACCAAAATAATGAATATAAAATGATTGATGAATAAATATCATGGATTATGAATAATAACACCCATGAAAACATAATGGCAGTGATGTTTACAAGGCCTCAGAGGATTAAAGCATTGCAAGCAGGAGAATTTAGCTTTGTCTTTCAGGAGATGAAGAAGAAAGAAAAATAAGTGGTGAAATACAGAGAAGAACTTTTTTTCTCATGCATTTCCCCACGGAATTTTTTAATCTCAAACTGATTTACAGGATTGATTGTTGAAAAGATGAGAAGGTGACAAAGAGTAAAATAAGTATTTTGTTAGTAAAACACAAATCTGATAAGGTGATTGGCTAAAAACTAACTGCACGGTTCTAAAATGACATTGTTACTGTTACTACTCAGCACAAACTAGTTCCTCCTTAAAATATATAAACCCCAAAAAGTATCTTACTAAAATGGCAGATCCTTATTGCTAATTATCATTGATTTGAAATTAAATAGCAATAGTAAAAAAAGCCAGCAATAAGGTAAACCAAGCAGCACATCAAAGTACAGTAGCTCTTAAAAACTGCAAAAGCAGCTACGTGATGTTCAGAATCCATTAAGGTCATGTCATGGCATGGCATGGCATGGCAATTTTACTCCCCAGTTTAGTTCTCCCACTGAGACTCTTCAAATCACACTACTGCTCATTCTGTCCCCCACTCACCCTCTCTCTTTGGTGGGATGGAGATGAGAATTGAAGGCGCAAAAAGTAAAGACTGTGAATTAAAATAAGAACAACTTACTGAAAATAATAATAAGAAAATGAACAGAAGCAACAACAACACTAATGACAGAGGATGCAAGAAAATGCAAACAATTCACACAGAAACAATAGCACCTGATCTTTTCCTCTGTCACCCTATGTGCCCTGAAAGAAAGCCCTTCTCCCATCACTGGATAGTAATGTGAGGTGATATAGAATAACCCCTGTATCCTGATCATACGCCCTCCTGGCCACTGCAAAAGTTAACCCTGGTTTGAACCAGAACAGGTTAGAAATCAATTCTACACATAATTAGAGCTCATTAAAAATGCTCCTTATTTTTTATTTTGTCTTTTTTAGTCTGTTCCTGGTATAGTGTCTCCATTATGAAAGATACAGCAAAACTGATACATCACCAACAGAAAGATCCTGAAGTCACAATTCCCTCCAAGACCAGCTAGATCATCCATCATCAACAAAAAATACGTGACAAAAGACCAAAAACTAGCAAAAAACTGACAAACTACCATGAAACAGAGGGTAAAGAGAAAAAGAAACCCAAAGAAAACAACTGGGAGTTGAAAGAGAAATACACCTCCAAAAGATACAGTGAAAAAATTGGGAGCTATCTAATCATTTGCCAATAAATCTATCATGTTATAAAACCTCAGCCAGAAAAGAAAAAAAAAATAAGGTGTGAAGAAGTAATGAAGGAACACCATGAAAGCAAACAGGTGTCCTTGTTAACTGCCAAAATCACTGTCAGTTGCCTTTATTTGCAGCATTGCTGCCTATCAGCTGGGTAAATACTCGTTCCCATAGCATCTGAGTGGGAGTCACCTGTGAAACATCTGCAGTTACAAATATTTGCAAGCTGAAGAGAAATAGCTTGAGTTTTCATGTTTCTGTCATAAATATGGAACTAAAAAAGGAAATCTGATTTTCATTAAATTGGTTAATGCTTCAAAGTCTACCATTTGCAAAAGAATGAGGAAATAAGCAGCTTTTTCTCTTTTGTTGTTTTACTGCTTGCCTCAAGTTCAAAGAGGCCACTGGAATTTTGAGCAGTACACTTTTCTTCAGCAGGGAATATTTTGAAAATCACAATTCTCCTGTGTGATAAAGCTCTGATACAGAATCAGATAATGAGTTTCATTTCCCTGGGTGTCAGATTGCCTATTATCTGTACAGGAGTTTGACTCATATGTCAACTAATTCACTGACACCAAATGCCTGAAAATGCCAGAGCAAACTGGATGGAAGACCTGAAGATACAACGGAATTAAACTGTCTTAGAAAATATATATTTTGCCCTTGTTCTCTACCTCAGAATCAATGGGGCTTTTTTTCTGCATTGGCTACCATCACTTCTGAATAATTACTTTTAAGCTTTACTTTCAGATATGGGGCAATCTTGACATTGGTCCTAATGGACAAATTTCTGTGACATCCTCTGCTTGGTGCCCTTAGGAAAGCTCATTTGACACCAACTCTCCTCTGTTTCATGTGGCATTTCTCAGAGACTGTAGTTTGTTTTTTGGTCCAAGCTGCATGTACCCAAGTCACAGTCTGTTCCCTCCTCTTTGAAGAAAGAATTCTGCACCTATTTTTTCCATACAGACCCTTGTTCCAATATAGGAAGGAAATGGACATCTTTGAGCTACCCTAATACAAATGATTGGAGAGTTGGCCCTTTTCCTTCTTTTTGTTTGCTTTCCTAACCTGCAAATCACAGCTCTGCTAGCACCACCATCACTATATTTAATAAAATTTTGTCGGGGAAGAATTTGGGCTACAGTATTTCATAGATCAAAAATTTACCTAATGTTGGAGCATTCTCAATTATGACGTTAACAGTGTTATCTCAGTTAAATTTGGAGCAGAGTATGAAATAAGGAGTATTAAATCAGTTATTTCATACTGGGAAAACCTTTTTGTACCTATGGATGTTCCTACTAAAAGACATGCTAAAATGTTTTTTTAGATTTTCACACTATACGGACATTATCAAACCTTTTTTTTGCTTTCAGAACAGATAATAATCCCAGTTTTAGCAGGTTTCAGAGATCACATATCAGAATTTTCATCAAGATCACTATCACTTCTTAATAGCCTACCTTCAGTGTATTACATGCCTGTTTCTGTCTTAAAACAGAATAGACTGGTGCTTCAATGCTGTACAAGTCTTTCCATGGTTCATCTGTTATCAGCTACAGGCACAGCATAGTCATTCCCTGCAAATAGAATGGGAAAAAAAGAATAACTCAAGAAATTCTGCTATTACTGTTCTTTAGTATTGATGCAGATGAATAAAATTATGTTTCTGATTAGCTTGGGCAGTCCAAGAGAAGATGGAAGATGTGAATAAATAGAAAGAAGAGGAAATCTAGAAAGTAATTTTTCACTTGTTTTAATTTATGTTAACTGCAAGGAAAAAGAAACATATAGTTTGGGTTTTTTTCCATTTGAATAAAAGTACTAACTCAAATAATCTAATCTTTTTCAGACAGACTTCAATTCTAAAGCATCTTCTTCAAGGCTCTAAGAGGTTTTAAAAAACATCTTGTAATGTCCACATTAATCCTGAATAATTGTGTGTAGTGAGTGACTAGAATACATATGGGGGAAAAAAGTCACAATTTAGTTAAATTTCCAAAATAAATACTTGGCCACTTTTTTCTCTATTGTCCATAATTTTCTGCATGGGTATTAGGGGTTGTGGTGGTTTCAAACTTATTGACATTTGGGGAAGATGTAAGAAAACACCCACGGAAGTGATTTCTCTAAGAGAAGCTGCTGGGAGCTTCCTCTGTGCTTCTGTGTAGGCAAGGCCAGTTCTGAGAACTGACAACATTTTGCACCATTTGGAAATTAGATCTGCCTCTGTGAGCTCCACATTTTAAAAACCACAAGCCCAGGAAATTTCTCTCTTTGCTTCTCTCCTCAAAAGGCAGCAGAGCTCTGGTGGGGCCGGCCCTGCTCCCCCGGGGCCTGTGTGGCCTGGATGAGGCTGGGCCGGATCCCAGCAGCTCCCGGGCAGGGATGGAGGCTGTGGGACCCCAGCCCCAAGCTGGACCAGACCATGGCTGCTGACACTGGCCAACACCAAAACCATCCCAGGCTCCAGGCCAAAGACCGAAGACCGTCTGCCCCTCTCAGCAGCTGCTGGGCTGAAGGAGGCGCCCAGCGTGGTCCGGAATCCAACACCATGACTGCTGTGGCCTGGGCAAGATTTCACCCTCTCCCTACACAGATGAGACCTGCAAACCTTGTTCCTCTCTCCAGGGAGAGGAAAGGAGTGACAATACGTAGAAAGACAACATGAAAACACCAAGGTCAGTAAAGAAGGAGTCAAGCCTCAGATGGAAGGAGAATGAAGAGATGCTGAATGGGGCTGAAATATTCTTTTGGTAGGGCGGTGGAGATGGACAATTATACGCTGAAATATCCCCTTTAATTCATGAGACAGGATGGAGGAATGAAGTATTCAAACTGTAGATGTGAGCAGAGGCATCCATTGATGAAGCCAAGCAGATATTGGAGTAGCTGTGATCCCATGAGAAGCTTGAACTTGAAGGGTAAAAAATACCCTTCTCCCCAGGGAGAGAAGAAAACCTCTGTTCATGGAGATGATCCCAGAGATATGAAGAGACCCTTTGCCTTTGAACAACTCATCCTTAAAATAATACCCTGTGAGTTCATGGCTCATGGACACACCTCTAGGAGGGCTGTGAAAATGGGAGGAATTTCATGATGACAGAATTTTTCCTGGGCAGCTGCTATTAGTGGAAATTAAAAGGCACGAGAAAACCGCTTCTTCTGGAGAAGTCTCCATGGCATGACAAGAGAAAACTCCTCTCCCTACAAGGACTGATTAAAGATTATTGTATAGTTGGTACTGCTTTAACATCCCAGATTTTGTCTCTATGTGGTCAGCTGGGAAGGGAAAAGTTGGGTAGTGGGAGGAAAGGTGTTCTGGAGGTTTTATTCTGATATTTCTTAATTTTGTAGTGCTGTTAATAAAGTTTCTTTATTCCTTTTAAGTTTTAAGCCTGTTTTGCTTTTCTCCTAATCCATATCTCACAGCAAGAAATGAGTAAGTGCCCTGGTGATTTTAGCCAGCACTAAAACCCATATACAGGGGTATATGAGCTGAACCTTGTGGTGAGGAAATAGAAGGATGCAGGCTGTTTAATAGTGAATTGTAAATAATTTTTCTACTAGTGTAGTGTCATGAGTTAGTAAAAATATTTTAGTGTCATTCAGTCTTTTTCCCTACACTTGTCAAGGAACAGAACTGAAAAATACATGGTACACAGATAATAACAGAAGATAAAAGCTAAGTACTTATTGTTAGGTGCAGTCCTTCCCATTTAGGAAAAATTATCTTGATATTATGATGCAATTCCACTGGCAAAACCCACCAAAATATATATGACAAGATGATGCTAAAGTGCTTTAAGTAGATATTTATTGTATTTGTTTAAATTATGCTTGCCTATATGTACATCTGAAAACATGATGTGAAAGGTATAGGAGATGGAAAGTTTACTAATTGTATGCAAAGGAAATTTATTACACCTACAACATAATTTTTATATCAATAATATCACATATGCTATATATCACCAAAAATATTAATGTTTCTACATTAATATTTAATGTAACTGCAAATATATATTTTATCTAACTGCAAATATATATTTCTTCAGCTCATGTATATTCTTTTCTCTTCATCTTTATTCTCAATGTATTTCCCTAGTGTGATTTTCCCATTAAAAATTCCCGTTAAAACCTCATCTGTTGGTAGATTTGCATTTTCTACATGTGTTTGCTGCATTGTTATCCTAATCCAGATATACAATTTACAGGCTCTCAGCAGTAGAGTAGATAGGAAATTTTCAGTGAAAGAAAGTCAACATTTTTGACAGATCTAGGTAGTTCTAGTAAATGCAGTTTACTAGACTCATTAATTCATAATTATCACTGTAATTATGAATATCCACTTCAAGCACAGAGTTGAATCAAAATTATTTTAAATGTACAATTAATGAGTGAAACTAAGGCCTAGTTACCTTTAGCAAAAGATTTATTCTAACAGATAATTAGGCATTTGAAAATTATTGATTATAACAGTATCTAATACTGAAGATTTAATAAGGGTCTTATTTAATATGTGTATTCTCAGAAAGCCTGTTTTACTCCACAGAAGGAGAAATTCTGTTATGCAGTTGTAAGAAAATGTGATGAAAGCATAAAGCGATAAAGTAACAGGATGAAGGTTTCATTAGAATAGTGAACAAAACTCAATAATAGAACACCCTGTGAAAGCCGTAACTGATTCAGGAATAACAACCCTCTGCAAATACTGAAAAATTAGATGAAAGAATAGAAAATCCTTTCTGACACTGAAAAATCCTAACTAATTTTTCACTTACTAGACCTCTCAGGCAATTGTTGCACACCTCCCAGACATTCTTACAAATATTCACACATCCTACTGGAAAAAAGTTATAAAAATTATTTTCCATTAGATTTTTTTAATGACCTTTATCAGAAAAAGATGTGAGGGCAGGGTGTCCGTAGGACTTTACAGCAGAACATGCATATTCATGCTTAAGTAAAGTTTCTATTATCACTGTTGATATAGTGTCTATTATCACAGCTAGGATCATCTCTGGATCTTATTATCACTGTCAATTAATGAGCTGCAAAAGGCACAAATTTTGTTGGTTTAGCCATTCCTACTAATTTTCTTCTTTTTTTTTTTCCATAATTAATTCATGAAGTATCTACAAATCCCTTGTGATTTCCAACCCATTTAATCCATTTTTACTGTTGTGCAATGATAACAGTATAATTAGAATGCCAAGATGGACCTGTCAAAATCAACATAATTACCAGTAACACTTTTGCTTTTGTGGGTTTGGAGTTCTCTCAGTTTAATTCCACCTCAGTATGAGCAGAGGAGAGAACTGGTCAATGTAAACAACTTTTTATACTTGAGGGCTTAAATCTACTACCTCAAATGCTAAGCTTTCACTAAATTTTTCTAGAATTTTAAGGTGAGTGTCTGCCCAGACCTGCAGGTGACAAATATGAGGAGAGCAGCAGAGATCTCCCATTGTCCCTGAGGTGCAGATGTGTAAAGCCAGACACATAATTTTCCTCACGGAGGTCAGCTTTCTGGAGGCAGCAGCTCCCTCCTTCACTGCCAGCTTGCTCTGCAGGCTGCCCAGTGTGCCTGAGAAGCCTCAGATACCAGGGCTCTATGGTTCATCTGCTTGCTAAACATATATTTTCTTGTGGAAAATACATTGGCTTAGTGCAAGAGTCCTCTAAAAGCACACAGAGAATGAGTGAGCTCACACAGCCAGGTACAACTTCTTCCAGAAAATAGATTACTATGACAAGTTGGGACCTGCCTGTTTAAGAGGCTCGTTGTGATAACAGGCCCTTCCTGAAGGAGCACAAAATTTCTGCTCTACATTATACATGATTTTTAAAACTTAAAGCAGGACTTTGGACTCATGGATCCAGAATATCCTGAGCTGAAAGGGACTCACAAGAGTCGAGCAGAATCCCTCATCCTGCACAGGCCTTCCCCAGGAATCACACTAGGTACCTCAGAGCTTTGTCCAAATGCTTTTCTAGGCTTGGTGCTGCGTTCACTTCTGGGAAGCCTGTTCCAGTGCCCAACCTCCCTCTGGGTGAAAAACATTCTCCTGATATCCAACCCATGCCTCCTCTGACACAGTTTCAGGCCATCCCCTCAGGTCCTGTCACTGTCACCACAGAGAAAAGATCAGTGCTGCCCCTCCTCTTCCCCTCACAAGGAAGCTGTAACTGCAGTGAGGTCTCCCCTCAGTCTCCTCCAGGCTGAACAGAACAAGTGATCTCAGCCACTCCTCATATGGCTTCACCTCAAGGCCCTTCACCATCGTCATGATCTCCTCTTTGAACACCCTCTAATTGTTCTAAATCCTTCTTATATTGTGGCACCCAACACTGCCCCCAGCACTCGAGGTGAGGCTGCCCCAGCTCAGAGCAGAGCAGGACAATGCCTCCCTTGCCCGGCTGTGATGCTGTGCCTGATGCACCCCAGGACACAGGTGGCACTCCTGGCTGCCAGGGCACTGCTGAACCATGGTCAACTTGTCACTGACCAGGACCCCAGCTTCCTTTCCATGCTGCTGCTCTCCAGCTGCTTCTTACCAAGTCTGTACATGCATCTGGGGTCAATGTGTCCCAAGATGCATTATCCAGCACTTTCCTTGTTAAACTTCATATGGCCACTGACTAAAGTTTTATTTCTGTATTCATGGGATGAAGCAGCAGTTTATTCTCTACAAGCAGTTTAGTCTGTATGACAAAATGGAAGCTTGATGACACGCACCAGAAAATTCCCTCCCAGTAGAAAGTCACAGCTAATAATTGCTTCAAATCATGCAAAATTAGAACATCCTTTTCCTTATAAATTAATCATATTTCCTATGCAGCTCTATTATTAAATAAAAACAACTTTCATCACGTGTCATTCAAATAAAAATAAAAGACTGATGTCCTTTTCTTCCTCGCTTGCCCATCTCCAAGGGTAATCCTGTGTGCTCTGAGCAGGCTCTGTGTTTTTTACGACACATGAACATTAACAATGCATATATCATTTCCACTTGCCACATTTCAATAGTTTTCATCTATTTGTAGGCTCCTTTGTCGTATAGGTCATTGCATATTTTGACAATATAATTTGTATTCTGGAGATATATGACAATTTTTGAATACAAATCCACTATTCAGAATATGCTTTTCCAGGTTTCCATTAAAAATCTGAGGGTGGCAGGGAAAGTTTCCCATATGACATATTGATTTCCAGAATTAATTTTCATCTTTATTGTTGCTGTTCATTTACACCGCTTAAATCTCTAGGATGATAAGAAAGGTTAAGCACAACAGCTCTTTTGGTTGTGTCACAATATTTTTATAGATGAGGAAGTAACTGGAAGGAATATTCCTGTAGGAAGCACTATTAATTTTTTTAGGAAAATAGATACTCTGTGGCTCAGAGATGAAAGGAAACAGATTTCTGGAGGGTTTGTTTTTGTTTTTGTTTTTTGTTTTGCTTTTAATATTTCACTGCAGATAAACATAGGAAATAAGGCTGTTTGACACAAACTTTGAATGGTAGCACAAAAGCCTGTGTATTGAGAAGGGTTGAAAGCCTTGCTTCCTATAGATTTACGCACAAGACTTACGTGGTACAAGAAATTTGGTACAAGTTTATAGCACCATCTTATTTTAGATAATACTGACATATCTTATTTGTTTTTTAAAGAGTCAATTGCATGTTTATAACAATTCAGGGTAACAATTTTAAGAATATGAACTTCCTCTTCGTATTATTCCAAAGCTCAGGTGTCAGAAAATTAGTTTCTGTATTTCAGAATTGCACCTGGTTTTGATTATAAATCCCAATAAGCAGTCTGTTAAGATGACAAAATCTCAAGAATGGTAGGAAAGTCAAATGGCACCCTGCATGTACTTGCTAGTCAATGACCAGTAAAGGCATCTTTGACAGATTGTTTTCAGCTTTGCTGCAGCTTGAGCTGCGCATCTCTTCACTAAAGGAAAAATCTTAACTAAAGAGAACAGCACAGTGAATTCTGCGTGCTCTTGAGAATCCGTCCAAGTGCACTCTGACAGTGCAGAATTCAGCATCTTCATTAAAGGAATTGCTCAGAAATTCTACCTGTCTCTCTCACACATTTTTTTATCATTTGCTTTAACCTGTATAAGAGCTTTCATCTTCACTCCAAGAAGTGCAGAAATGGTAGATGAACAGGAAAGGTAACAAGTGGCAATGCCATTAAATAGACAACTGGAGATTTATTGCTCGTCCTGGAAGCTAGGCTGAGTTTTGAATAATTAGGAAAAAAGTATTGTTAGAACATGGATAGAATTAAAAGAATTTGTTATCTCATAAATGGTACAGTGTGTGGATTTCCTATATGAAAAGTCTTACGAAAAATTTATGAACAATAACTGAGATTCATAGTTCTTGCTGCATTGACGACATATGCAAATTGTACCCTTACTAGATTTTTCTCACTGGGATCTGCATTTGTTGCAGTTAACGATCGTCACCACATCTCAAACTGGACTCCACTAATGGGTTTATTATACAGACAAAATCGTCAAAGATTTCACAACCTGCTTGTGCAAAATCACAGGTCCAAAGAGAAAGAGAGCACAGTAAAATGAAAGTTTTTCCTCAAAGCCAGACATTTTCAGGTTTTAAATAATGTTAGGTCTCCCCTTTCTAACATTTACTGGAATATGTCTGTCTTTATTCTACCATTACTGACATATTATTACATTTTCTTTGCTTCTGGCTCTTTTTTTTTTTATTTTTTTCAATTGAATATTAATGAATGTTGCAAAAGAAAGAAGGGTTCTTCCTTCTAACAATACAGATATGCAACAAGCATGAATATAGTGAAATTTAATTTTTAATTTGGTTTTGGGAACAGTAATCAGCATTTAGGAGTAAAACGTACTTATCACTGATTTTACAGAGAGATATATTGCACAGGAGGAGCCAGACCTGTAACGTACATAATAGATATCATAATGTTGATGATTTGTATCTATTGAAAAATTGACTCAATCTCTTTAATGTCAAATGAGAGCTAAAACTAAGTAAGTTAAAATATTTTTTTCAGTATATCTCTGTGACAACACAGTAGATGTACTTCCTAGTGCTCCCCATGGTTCTGTTTCCTAAGATATCAGTGAAAGACTTTTTGGACAACACATTTTCTGCTCCATCACCCTTCCTTACTTGCCTTCACACTGAAATCTGGGTATAGGAAGTCAGTATGTATATCCAGGTATCAAGCCTGTTCTCCTTCAATGTACAATCAGTCTTCGGTTTTCGAAGGCAGGTGTCTGCTAGGGAGGGCAGGAGCCTCCCTTGGAATGAAAACGTAGACCCCCCTCCCTCCAAATTACTATACTTTTGGAATCCAAGCGCTCTCAGGCAGAGGTCTGGCAATAGGTGTAACAGTTCTTTACTAGTACATAGAACAAGGCAAACAAACAAACAATAACTACGGCGTTAACAACAAATCAGAACCAGGGGCCCCGTGACAGCTTTCTCGGCTGAGACGGGAAGGGATGGAGGAGAGGCTTTGCTTCACAAACCCCCTCGGGCGGGCAGTGCCGGTGCTCCTGCAGGGCTCTGAGCAACACTCAGCTGGAACGGCCGGGATGAGCGGAGATCCCGGGCCGGTGGCTGAGGGCTATCAGCAGCTCTGCAGCGGTGGCTGGCACTGCCACACGACCCGGCAGGACAGGGGTGCGAGGCCACCAACGAAGAGGGAAGCAGCAGCAGCAGCTCTGTCTGGGTGATGGCGAATTCCCTTCTCTCCACAGCAATAGCTCCAGCAAAATGTCCTTCTCTTAAGCCAAATAAGCCCGCCAAAAACTGCCCCTGCCCTTCCTTTTTCCTACCCCCCTTCCCCCCTGGACCCAGCCAAACTCTTTGTGTTTCTCAGCCACCCATCAAGTACCAGCACTCAGGTTTTTCCTGCAACTAATGGGTAAAAATTCCACAGGTGAGCCAGAACTAAAGGAAGGATGCCTAGCCCCCAACAGTCTCCAGATTTGTTTTGTGCAGGCATTAGTATTACTGCAAGAAAAAACTTTGCAATTGGACCCTAAATCCTGAAATAATATCTAAAGAGTCTCTATATTTTTCATCTTTCTTCCTTCATATTCATCAAGCATACAAACTAACACAAAGAGAAACCAAGAGAAAAAGAATTGCTGTGTATTAGCATTTTTTCCTTTCAAATTTACAGTTTCTTTACTTTGTACTGAACCAAACAGTCCTATTTTTTTTTTCTGTAAATTATCACTTAGGTAGCAATGACAGATGGTATATCCACCTGCTTCTTGTTCCCTTACTAACATCAATAATATTATACAACTCTATAAACCAGCTTACACTAAGGGATTGCTGTCATCAGCCATCAATGTTTACAAGGCCAGAATACTAATGAGGTTTTACTGTGGACATTAACACACTCACTGGGTGAATGTTTCTCAGTATGATGTGTGTTTTTCAGCAACAGAAAAATCCCTTTCTTTTTTACAATAAAAGACCATAAACTAAAGGGACTACTTTACCCAATGCTAATTTTTGCTGTCTAATAAGTAGAAATGCGTGTGATTTTTTTTAGCAGCCAGGTATGTTTTACTTTAATTTTCAACTAGGAACCTTGGAAAATATTATTATACTTTTTTCTGTTTGGCTTTCTTGCTAGATTTTCATCGTGAATGCTTTCATGTTTAGTTATTTGGATTACCAATACAGATTTATATACAGGGGTGTTGCCTGGGGATATGTGACTGGCTAGCTAAATATTCAGAAATCAGTTTAACCATTTAGAAACATTACCTTCCCTGAGTCATTCTTGTTTGGCTCTTAATGGCATGTCTAGTGCGCAGCCTAAGTCAGCACATTGTATAGATACGCCCTTCTGGCTTTCTCTGCATGTGGTTTTCAAAACTGCAGTAGATTATGGGTGTGAGATTTACAGTAGGTTCCTCCTGCTTAAATAGGAAAGTGTCTATTATTGCATAACCTCTGTGTTGTCCTGCATCCTAGTGGCTGTCTTCCTGCAAGATAAACCTGTTTCCACACAGCTTGGTTGCAGGGGCCAGCCTGTGTGGCCCCACCTCTTCTTCATTATGCCACCCTCTTCTCGTTTTCATCTTCCCAGCATGT